GCTATTCAGTGGGAAGAAAAGAGGAGCCATGGCTAGGGCCTGAAGAACTTCAAGATTTATGGACTTGAGGGGTATGTGTGTGTGTGTGTGTGTGTGCACGTGTGCGCACGTGCGTGTGTGTAACTATGACTTTAACAAGACTGACTTTCAAGCGTGGCTCATAAACCAGCTCTGTAGGCAATTTTGAAAAAATACCTGAGTAGCAGGATAAACACTTATACTTTAGAACTTGTTAGGCATTTGGATTGTAACAAGGCTTTTACGTGCGTGAGTCATTCCTTCATTATTTCTTGACTATAGACTTGGCAATGGGGAAGTGGGCAGATTCCATAATGGCCATCAGAGAATAATTTTTTCTATTACCTTCCTTGTACCCAGGAATATGGTCAGCCCTGCCTCTGTTTAGAGAGCAGTTTGTATGACGGAGCTGAAAGTTTAATGTTTTTTAAAGTTTCTTATTTCTGTACCTAGTCATGCTGTTCACTAAAGCAGAAGAGGACTCTAATTGTGACATACATTTCTGAAGTGACTGACTGTACGTAAACGTGTGCAGATGGCTTAAATACAACGCCACCTGAAAGAAGTCTTTATCTTTTCGGGTGTATATGAATTTTTTAGGTTATGAGCCTATATGATCTGTTGGATTAGGAGTCAGACCATACATCCTGATTAGGACTTGTACATAATGAGAATTTAGAAGTTGTGTTTTCAGCAAATAAAGTTACCAGATTTTATCACTCATTAAGCGCCCCATGGACACTTGAGAAATAGAATTTAAAATGCTGTCAGTTAAAAGTATAAAGACATTCATCATTGATCATTTAGTTAGGATCCGATATAGTTCTAAAAGGCTATGAATCTTCACAATTCTTAGTCTCTAGCTTAGATCAGTTTCTGAATGCTATGTTCTCCTAATGGAATATTGTCTTCTATTCAATTTCCTCTGAAGTATTTTCATGTATCTTAAGTGAACTCAGAAATATGCTAAGACCCAGGTGTTTTCTTTCAACAATAATAGAATTTATTCAGTGAAGATCAACAACTTTATAAATTTATGAGATCACTTGGAATGTGATTAGTGAAATTTTGTCTTTCTCCATCTTTGTTTCTGATATTTTAAATTAATATTTCAATTGAAAATGTTGGATTAAACTCACTTTCCTTATATGTTCTCTATGGTTCTTTGGATGCCCTTGTATAAATAAATGAACAAATTAATATCTTACATGATTCTTACGAATACACAGATTGTCTGAAAAGTCTAGAAACATAGGGAAAGTATTTTATTATGCTTCTTCAGATTAATAATTGGCTTAAATTTAGAAATGTGTTACCTGCAAAAGAACATATGGATCAAAGGAAAATTTATTGACAAAGATTTTTGAAAATGTAACTAACATTTTTTTTTTTTTTTGAGGAAGATTAGCCCTGAGCTAACATCTGTTGCCAATCCTCCTCTTTTTGCTGAGGAAGACTGGCCCTGAGCTAACATCTGTGCCCATCTTCCTCTACTTTACATGTGGGATGCCTACCACAGCATGGCGTGCCAAGCAGCACCATGTCTGCACCTGGGATCCAAAACTGGCGAACCCCGGGCCGTTGAGAAGCTGAACGTGCGCACTTAGCTGCTGCACCACAGGGCCGGCCCCCTAACGTCTTGATTTTATTTTTATTTTACATTTTGGAACTCAGCTGCTCAGTCAGATTAATTGTAATTTTTGGTTCATGTCATTCTCTCATCATATGTCCACGTGTAGAGCTCTTATTTACTTTGTTAATTATTTAATTATTTATTTTTAATACTGAAATAATCACCTACAAAGCTACTATCCAAAGAGAAAGCTGAGACTCTAACCACAGGCCACATCAAATCTCCTGTCTGCCCACCAGGCCAACCGCCTTCTCCCTTCCACCCAAAGGATCTGTCACCCAGAAACACGTTCTTAATATGTTCCATCACTCAGAATCTTATTGTTCCTTTTATCTTGTATTGTAACCATTTTTTTCCTGAAAAGTACACAAATATATACTTAGTAATTTTTAAAAGTTTTTACGAAAGGAATGTCAGGCTCTGTATAATCTTTTGGAACGTTTGTCACCTAACGTTGTATTGATAAGATTAATTCATAGTGTTACTTGTGGCTATACTGCGTTCATTTTACTTGCTATACAATATTCAGGGAGTGAATGTACCATAGTTTATTTATGTACTCTCTGTTGCTGGCCATTTGGTTCATTCTGTTTTTTGTTAATATGAACAGTACTGCTATAAACATCTTCCTTTTACATATCTTTTCTTGTACATGTGCAAGAGTTTCTCTCGAATATACACCTGGGCACGGAAGGACCAGTGTATAGAGTACATAAATCTTTGATTTTAGGAAAAAAATGGCAAGCTTTTCTAAAGTTGTTGCTCTCATCTATCACATATAAAAGAGCCTGCGATCCACGCTTGGTGTTATAGGAATTTTAAATATTTGGAATCCAATGGAGGTAAAATGGTATCTTATTATGCTCTTAATTAATACTGTTTAAAAATAAAAAATTAGTCGTTTTTAGTTTTTTCAAGTATACTATACACTTCAAAATATGTTAGTGTATGTAGATCAACACAAAGCAATTACAAAATGATATATGTCTTACTTGAAGCTGATTTTTTTTCTGACTCTTCTTTCCCATCACTGCAGGCACGGCCAGGACTGTGACACGACGTCATTGTGGCCACTGTGTTCTCTTCTAATACCCTGCCTCTCCAGGCAAAACGCCAAGGGGTGAGGTCATAAAATATTTACTACAAGCTTTCCAGTCATTCATTTTTTCTTGCACTAGAAACCTCCCCTCATTCCCTACTGATTTTAAACATATCTAAGAGATTTCCATTGACTACGTAGGTTTGTAAAAGGTTAAAACAGCAGTGTTGCATGGGCACATTTACAAACACACAGTCATTAGATTGCAAAGGTACACAGAGCTGGCCCAAGTGATTAAGTATTTTTAAAATCTTTCAACTGGATTTCTAGATTTTCATGTTTCTTTCTCATAAGACATTAAGTTAATTTAAATGCAAAGTCATGTTTAAGGTGATTCTCGGACTTCTGAAATGAAGGACTAATGAATGTCCTTTAAACTGGGGAACAGCAAGGGTAGGAGAGAAATTCCGCTGCAAAACTCCACAGTCAGCCAAAGCAAGGTATGTGTGCCCCTGCCTCATGGTGTTCACAGTCCTTTGTGAAGATACTTGGAATCTCCAAGAGGAGAAGAAGAGTGACAGCAGTGGTAAAACTGAGGTGAGAGTGTAAGATGTGGTCTTGGAACCTCCCTCCTTAGCCCCCCTCCTGAACCTGAACAGCCCCATCCGGTACAACACCATGAGTTACAACTGTGGTGTGCATTATTCATGGAAGGGCAAGCTTCATTCTGATTATAGATATTCAAAAGCATCAGGCACAGTTAAGAGGACTTAGGTGAAACTCTTCATGTATTTCTGATTGCAATATTTAGCAGCTGTGAGCTAAGACAGATAATCTATTTCCTAAAATTATGTGGAATTGTATGTGTTGCTAAAAAGAAAATCCTTTCATAGACAGGGCAGTGTCGAACTTTTCCTTCCTTTACTCATCTTTAATTTCTCCCCACTTCCAACTGAGTGGAAGTGTTTTTATTAAAACAAAACATCAAACATCAGTTGGCACTCTGAAGAAACAGGCTCACCCATCTTTTAAGTTGTGTTTTTTTTACCTTATACAATATGCATTATAATGTAATAAATATTTTAATTTCCTAAGGATATTGAACTTAGTATCCCTTAAAGGAGACTTTTACAACTTACTGCTACAAATATTGGCACTTAATCAAAGGAGAAAATGATATTAAAATAGTTCAAGGATAAAATCACCCATGGGGCAGTTCTCAAACATTAATAAGGCCATGAGTTCATTTATCTATAACCTATAAGCTAGAAGAAGTTATGAACCAATATAGTGGTAAGGAAACCCACCAAGCTAACAGTTAAGATCTACAGTCATTATTTTTCATTTAGGCCTAGAAATACATTTCCTTTCCTGAATGAGCCAATCAGGCCATTTCAGAGAAACAAATGGAAGCGAAAAATAAACTTTTTATTTTTTATTTTTTTGCAGAGGAAGATTGTCCCCTGAGCTAACATCTGTGCCCATCTTCCTCTATTTTGCATGTGGGATGCTGCCATTGCATGGTTTGATGATTGGTGCATAGGTCCATGCCTGGGATCTGAACCATTGAAGCCCAGGCGGAAGCAGAGCACGAGAACTTAACCGCTGTGCCGGGAGGCCCCAAAAATAAACCTTTAAGGCAAGCGCTGAAGAAGAAGCAGGATTTTCCATTTAAGACATCCACAAGAAACTCCGCGTCCTTTGATTAGCAATTAGCACGCTGGACTCTCCTTTGACAGAGGAGAGAAGTGAGGCTTCGGCCGATGAACCGGTGCTCCCCTGGGGCGAAGGGAGAAGCTTCGGTTCTCAGGAGCTGTTCCCCGCAGTCCCAGGCCGCTGGGAGGCCGGAGGCGTCCGCCCCGTCGTGAGGCAGACCCGCTCCGGCCACTGCACGAGGACGGTGTGGGCCGGCGGCCAGCTCCCCTCCGCGATCCTCCGGTCCCTGTGCGCCCGCCGCGGGTTTGGGGATCCGAGGTCCTGGAACCCCCTAAGCGGGGAAACGATGCACTCTTCCCGGGGGCGACTTTCTGCCTTCTCTCCTGCTCCGAGCAGGGCCTTCGACTGCTTCCCCGGGCCCGGCGCCCGCCGTGTCCCTGACCCCAGAACCAATCCGGGCTGCAGGGGCCTGGCGGAGCTCCGGACGCGCTTCCTGTCGCGGCCTAAGGAAGCCGTTTGCCGCCAGGACCTTGGTGGGGATTCCGGGAGGTCGAGGGGCCGGGCTGGAGAGGGGCGGGGAGGGGGAGAGCCAGCTGTAGGGGCGGTGACCGCGCTCTCGGGACAGCTCGCGCCCTCGGCGGGACAGATCCAAGTTGGGAGCGGCCTTGCGCGCGGGACTCCAGGATGAGGCCGGCGCTCGCCCTGTGCCTCCTCTGGCAGGCGTTCTGGCCCCGGCCGGGCCGCGGCGAGCACCCCACCGCTGACCGCGCGGGCTGCGTGGCCTCAGGGGCCTGCTACAGCCTGCACCACGCCACCATCAAGCGGCTGGCGGCCGAGGAGGCCTGCAGCCTGCGCGGCGGGGCGCTCAGCACGGTGCGCGGGGGCGCCGAACTCCGCGCGGTGCTCGCGCTCCTGCGCGCGGGCCCGGGGCCCGGAGGGGGCTCCAAAGACCTTCTCTTCTGGGTGGCGCTGGAGCGCGGGCGATCCCGCTGCACCCTGGAGAGCAAGCCGTTGCGAGGTTTCTCCTGGTTGTCCCCCGACGTCGGTGAGTCCGAAAGCGACACGCTGCCATGGGTGGAGGAGCCCCAACGCTCCTGCACCGCTCGGAGTTGCGCGGGACTCCAGGCCGCCGGGGGAGTCGAGCCCGCGGGCTGGAAGGAGATGCGATGCCACACGCGCGCCAACGGCTACCTGTGCAAGTACCAGTTTGAGGGCTTGTGCCCCGCGCCGCGCCCCGGGGCCGCCTCTGACTTGAGCTACCGCGCGCCCTTCCAGCTGCACAGCGCCGCGCTGGACTTCAGTCCCCCCGGCACCAAGGTGAGTGCGCTCTGCCCCGGGCAGCTCTCCGTCACCGCCACCTGCATCGCGGACGAGGTCGGCGCGCGCTGGGACGGGATACCCTCCGGGGCCGTGCTCTGTCCCTGCCCTGGGAGGTACCTCCGTGCTGGCAAATGCGCGGAGCTTCCTAACTGCCTCGACGACTCGGGAGGCTTCGCCTGCGAGTGTGCTCCGGGCTTCGTGCTGGGGAAAGACGGACGCTCTTGTGTAACCAGTGGGGAAGGACAGCCGGCCTCTGGGGGGACCGAGGTGCCCACCAGTCACGCGCCGGCCACTGCAGCTAGCCCCGTGCCGAAGAGAACGTGGTCACCCAGGGTCCATGAGAACCCAGCAGAGGTACCCCATACCCCTGGACGAGGCGGTTCAGCAACATCTATTCCCGAGATTCCTCGGTGGGGAGCACAGAGCACGCTATCTACCCTTCAAACGTCCCCTCAAGTCAAGTCAAAGGCCGCCATAACCTCTTCGGGAAGCGTAATGCCCAAGTTTAATTCCACCTCTTCCTCTGCCATTCCCCAGCCTTCCCAGCCTTTCGACTCCTCCTCCACCGTGGTCTTCTTACTTGTGAGCATAGCGGTGGTAGTGCTGGTGATCTTGACCATGACAATGCTGGGGCTTTTCAAACTCTGCTTCCACAAGAGCCCTTCCTCCCGGCCGAGAAAGGGCCGTTTGGCCCCACCGGGCGTGGAGAGTGATGCTGAGGCCGCTGCTCTGCGCTCCACTTCTGCCCATTGCACAGACAACGGGGTGAACGTCGGGGACCGTGGTCTGCGGGACAGAGCGGAGCGCGCCTCGCTGACGGAGTCTTCTCTTGGCTCCAGTGATACGTAGGGAAAAGGGACGAGGAGCACTTCTTGTGAGCAGAGTTTTTCACTTTCAGAGAAAAGGGAAAAGAGGAACTTATTTGTGGGACTGACGATTACTGCAGAAATTCCCCTTCCCCTAAATTCCCTCTACTGGGCTGAGGAGCTAAATCTAAACTAGCCACGCCTTCCCTGAAGATGGAAGAGGTGCAAGTGCCTTAGGGTGGTACTGAGGGCCGGGATCCCACGGGGGAGAGGTATTTTCTTGTGTTTATTCTGGGGGAGTTGGCAAAGTGGTTGAACTTTTTAAGACACTGGAAGCAAATAGGAAACTGAATACGATTTTTAAAATTTTATTTTTTACCAAAGTGGGAAGGAAACCTTCTGTGCAGATTGTTCAGACTGGGAGTATATCGGTTTGAAATTCCCAGGCAAAAAATAAAGGATTGTTCAAAACCCAGACTCGGATATCATTGGTTTCTTGGAGGAGTAATTTAGGAAGAACAGCTGAGGGGCATGCTGGGAATAGCAACAAGAGGGCATCCTGCTTTTAGATTGAGGGGGAGATCTTTAAATCTGGTAATAAGGAGGAGATCTTTAAGAACTATTAACTTTTTCCTTGGTTCCTTATACTCTGCTTTCAAAATCACTGCTACTTGTCTGTTCTGTTGTAAACCAAAACTGTCGTGTTGCCAGAGTTGCTGGCTCTAGAAGCAGGTTATAGTTGACCATCAATTCAAGGGTTTTCTGTGTGTCCTTGCTCAAGGGGACCGATGATTTGTTTTCCTCTTCCAACATTTGTGCTCCCCAGTGCAATGACCTCTCCAACGAGAGAGACCTCTCTGAAACATCAGGATACTGATCCTCACTTCTAATTATGGCGATGTTAATTTTCAATTAAAACATTAATTCTACATATTGATTTGAGATCTTCTGGGTGCATTAAAGCAAAAGTAACTGGATTTCCTCCAAAGTTGCTAAGGTCTTGTGTACTGTTTAATCCAAGGAAAATCTTGAATTCCAAACCATTTCCTTCTCCTGTTAATAAAAGTGCATGCAGTGACCGTACATGCCCATCTTGGAATGATTACAACTTAACAATAGTCTGCATGGACAAAGGCATGGTAAACAGCTTTCCGTAAGAATTAATAGCATAAGAAATAAGTGGTAAATACAAATATCTTGTTATGACCCAGGGTATTAGAAAGTAATCTAAATGAAGCATTCCTCTAAAAAAAGATGACATAATAATAATCACTGTCTAGTGGAATTGAGACCCCTAGAAAATATCCTACTTTTATTAGTCTGCTAGGAGTTTAAGTGTGAGAGAGTTGGTGCATGGAGAAAGATAGAGAAACAAGCTTGGTAACCAGGAAGAATGAAAACAGGAGAAAATTTACACTATATTTTCATAGAACCATTTTGATGTTCTTGAGTGTGCAATGTATAAAATACATATATATGGTATATGAATGGTATTGCAACATTAAAGGAATAAAGTAATAGGTAGCTTACTTCATATACTAAGTATATGTCTAAATAGTTACATTTAAATAAAATCACAAATGAATTATTAGAGTTAACAACATTCAAAGGAATTTAAATAAAATCATTTCACAAGTAAAACTAAAATCAGGTAAGTAAATGGTTTACTCAATGTCCCCGATTGTCAGTGTGTCTCAGTTCACCTCAGTTGTGGTGGTTTATCTTTCCTCTTTACTACATGACCTCTCAGTAAAGAAGGTAACTATTTGAATAGCATATATGGTACTTTTTTTGTAATTTGAAAAATAGCCTCATCTGTAATCGAAAAGAAATGTAAATTATCTATAGCTAGAATTATATATAGAGAGAGAATCATCTATATCTGTGTGTGTGTGTGTGTGTGTGTGTACACATGCTTTGTCTTAAAGTAGGGCACCCTTGTATCATTCTTACAACACAACAGAGAATGCATCATTAACTCGTTGCGCAACATGCCCCTGGTGGCGTTACAAATCTTGGGGTCCATATGCCCTATGTAAAGAATAAGCTGCCAGCTTAATTACTGTAGCATTATCCCCTATTATTTCCCCTTCTAAGTAGATCAGGAAAGAATTACAGAAAACAGTTTGTTTTCACATTTGATTTCCTGACAGACAGCAATTGCAGAACAAGCTTCATATAATTTCCTTTGATTTCTGGCTATGAAGTCTTCCATAAAATTTTGAAGCCATGGCAGAATCAGGCCAGCTAAGGATGGTCTCTTAAGAGCTACCTAAGGCTAGAGTCAGCGTTCCTTCTCTGTACTACTTCTCTACTATCACTTCTTCATTACTTCTCCAACCTCTTTGATGTTCATTCCTTTCTTACCTAAAAGCTTCTACCCCCACACTCATCTCATAGCTGCCTGTGGAGTCATTTCCTTACAAGGAAGACTTGGAACCGAATTTATGTCTTTCTCTCCAGCCTAAGACCTGCCATTATCTTACACAGTCTCAAAGTCCTCATGGATGATTCTTCCAGTGCCTGGGCATTCCACCTCTTTGACTTCCTTACTTTGGATGACCTCCGCTTCATTTCAGCCATCCGTGCCAACAGCCGCACCTTCGCCTTCCAGATGATTCTGAAATTGTTCTGCATCTGAAATCACAAATTCAGACATTTGTGCGTGTGTACTTTAATGAATTTTGCCCTTGGTTAGAAGTAAACCATTATCGTTCGAACTTTGAGATTCCTTCTTTCTTACAATATTAAGCCTTGCTGTGAATAGTAGCCTGACATGGTGTCATTCTTTTTCTTTTCTTTTCCTGAAACAATTTCATGTATGCACAAGTTGCAAAGTAAAAATAACTTTGTTTTCCTGAATTGTTTAAGAGCAAATAGCCAGCCTAATGCCCCACCACCCCTAAATACTTTAGTGATTACTTCTAGGTTATTTAATTTGTTGGCGTACAGTTATTCATAGTATCCCCATATAATTCTTCTTCATTTCCAAAAGGTTGGTAGTGATGTCTTCTGTTTCATTTCTAATTTCAGTCATTTAAGTATTTCCCCTTTTGGGGATGGAGCCAGTCTAACCAAAGGTTCTGCCAATTTTGTTGATCTTTTCAAAGAACTAACTTTTGGATTCATCAATTTTTCCCTATTGCATTTCTATTCTCTGCGTCATTTATTTCTCATCTAATCTTTATTGTTTCCATCCTTATCCTTATTTTGGGTGTACTCTTTTTCTAATTGTTTGGGGTGGAAAGTTAGATTATTGATTTGTGATCTTGCTTTTTTAATATAGGCATTTACAGCTGTAAATTTCCCTCCAAGACTGCTTTAGTGGCATCCAATAAGTTGGGGCATGTTGTATTTTCATTTTCATTCATCTCAGTATTTTCTAATTTCCCTTGTGATTTTTTTTAATACATTGGTAATTTAGGATGGTGTTGCTTAATTTCCACATATTTGCAAACTTCCCTAAATTCCTTCTGTTTTTAATTTTTAATTCGATTCAATTGTGGTTAGAGAACATACTTTGTATGGTTTCAACTCTTTTAAACTTGTGGAGTCTTGTTTTACTGTCTCTCCTGCAGCCTAGCATATCTTCTATCCTGGAGTTGTTTCACAGGTGCTTAGGAAGATTGTGTATCCTGCTGTTATTAGGTAGAGTGTGCAATAGAAGTCTGTTAAGGCTAGTTTGTTTATAGAGATTTTCAAGTCTTTTATTTCAGTTCAGTCTTTTCCTTAGTTGTTCTAGACATTATTGAAGAGGGCTGCTGAAGTCTCTAACTTTTATTGTTGAATGATCTGTTTCTACCTTCAGTTCTGCCAGGTTTTTAAAAATGTATTTTGGAGCTCTGTTGATAGGTGCATATATGTTTGGTAGGGACCTGAAATTGGCCACCCCAAGATATGTCTCTTTGGCATCAGGATTATTTGAGGCTGATTGCTTTTGACAAACTGGGACAGGGAAGGAGGCTCTGAGGAATGGAACTTGCCCTTCGTTAGGACACATTTACATTTGTAAGGTAAATCTCTATCTGTGAAAGGTGCCTCCCTCTCTGTACCAGGAAGAAGAAAGGAGATGACCTTTTCTCTCTAGAAACTCTTAATCAATACCAAAGGCAAGGACTTAAAATATGCATTTTATTGTGCTTCTCTGGTAACCTCCTGTAACTGACTTCCCTCCCCCTCCCAACGTTGGCATTTCTTTAAGGATTAAGCATCTTTCCTTAGGCTAGGAACTGATTGCTGCGCTCACCTGTGACCGCCCAGCTCCAGACAATCGACTTGCCTCCTGCTACGCCCACCGAGATAGCAGACCACTACCTGCTGTGTCCATCAAGCGCTGTACCGACAGGGCAATCTTGTGACTATTGTGGGAGGGACATGTCAATCACATGTGAAACACCCTGTTTGGGGGTATATAACCACTCTGTGCACCCCACTTCTTCGGTGCCCTTTCTTCCTTCAGGAAGAAAGGCCCCGGGCCATGGTTCCTCATAAAGCTTTGTTTAATTTTCTCTGGCTATTCTGTCTCATGTGAATTTAATTCGTTCTCTGGCCAGACGAACCCACATTTGGGAAGAGGAAATGTCTTCCTCCCCTACATTTACAATTATTATATCTCCTGATGTATGGGCTCTTTCATCACTATAAAATGTCCCTCCTCATCTCTAGTAATCATTTTGTTTTGAAGTCTATTTTGCATGATATTAGTACCACAACTTCAGCTGTCTTATGGTTGCTTTTTGCTTGATATATCTGACAAGTCTGTCTTCCCTGTCATGTGTGACCACTGAACAAACTCCAACTCTGCTCAGGTGGCTTAGTGGTCAGCTGCTGATTACACAGAGGTTTATATAATTGATTGGAGCAATAGATCTCCCACCTTTTGTGGAAGTGATGCGGGGTCGGTGAGCCGAGGAGTCGAAAGAAAGATTTCTTAGACTCTTAAGATCTGGCAGTAGTGCTCTTTTATTTAGATAATAGTGTAGCATGGGGACAGGACCCATGGGCAGTCAGAGCTTCCGCTGCTGCCGCTTCTGTTGCCCCCGCTGGCATGGGGACAGGACCCATGGGCAGGCAGAGCTGGTGCGTGGGGACAGGACCCACGGGCAGTCAGAGCTCCTGCTGCTGCCGCTTCTGCTGCCCCCGCTGGCATGGGGACAGGACCCATGGGCAGTCAGAGCTTCTGCTGCCGCCGCTTCTGCTGCCCCCGCTGGCATGGGGACAGAGCCCATGGGCAGGCAGAGCTGGTGCGTGGGGACAGGACCCACGGGCAGTCAGAGCTCCTGCTGCTGCCCCGAGTTGAGGGTTAGGGCTAAATTTAAGGCATAGGTATGTGAATCATCTCTTTACAAGACAAAGGAAAGAACATGAAAAAAAGTTAAAATGGTATCAGTGCAGGTGGGGTCTGGTTGTTGGGTGATCCCATGACTTTTAGACAAGAATCAAATCGGATTAAGTAAAGGTCAGAAGCCACCACCCTA